ACCAGGCCACAGCGGCGTTTGCCAAATGTATTTCGGTTGTGGCAGCAGGCTGGGGGTCACCGTGGGCTCTGGCACTGCCACGCCTCACACCAGCTTTTTATGGAATGCTGTGCTGTTGGATTTACTTAATGCTTCCATGTAAATAAAAACAGCTTTACCAGCAGAACTGTGGCCACATCATGAGACAGCAATACAGAGTAAGCAGCTCAGCCCTGCTCCCTCCACATGCAACAAGCTATTGAAATAAGCTGTTTAAATGGTTCCGTTAACATTAACCCGCTATTTGTTCAGTTGCTTTGTTGCTTAATAGCCCTTGCTAGCAGATGATCCAGCTGGGAACAAAGGTCAAAAATATTTTAGAAGGAGAAAAAAATCCTTAAAAACGAGAAAATGCCTGCACTTCGGAACCCATTGTCGTTTGGTTTTTATTGCTGGGACTCTGCAGTCAAGTTTATGGGCGGCTAAGCTGCACAGGAGCCAAAGTGGAGTTCAAAGACAAACAGTACTAGAAATGAGTGACTGCCTTTGTCTGTCATTCTTGGTTCTCCTGCTGCAGCCCTCTCTCCTATGATCACGATGGAGATTTACAGTCCCCCTCCACTGATGATCAGGGTTTCATCTTGTGGCTCCATCATGACACATTCTGTAGGATTCCCTGAGTCATGGGCCCTGGGGAATCAGTTACACACAGGGAAAACCAGGTGCCACCTTCATGAGCTTGCATTCTACTTGGGGAGATAAACACCAAACATATATTTTAAAAAAGATAATTATAGGGGCCGGCCCCATGGCATAGTGGTTAAGTTTGGCACGCTCTGGTTCAGCAGCCCAGGTTCACAGGTTTGGACCCCAGGCACAGACCTACACCACTCGATAGCCATGCTGTGGCGGTGACCCACATACAAAATAGAGGAAGACTGGCACAGATGTTAGCTCAGGGTGAATCTTACTCAGCAAAAAAAATAATAATTATTATTATAATTTTTGAAAAGATTTGGGAAGGAAATAAACAGGATGAAGAGAAGGAGAGGAACTGACAGGAGGAAGAGATAAGTCTAGGAAATGTCTGCAAAGCAGACATTTGGTTTGAGGCCTGAGGGATATGAAAGAGCCATCCCTGGCTTGGGCCAGGAGAAGAGCCTTCCAGAAAGAGAATGCAGTAGTTATACAAACCCGGTTGGGAGAGGAACAGACCTGAGGCCAGGGTGGCTGCAGCCCAGTGACTGAGGAAAGGAGACGAGATGAGGCTGGACCGGTGAGTGGGTGAGTGGACCCAGCTCCCTGAGGCCTTGTAGGCCATGGTATGAGGTTTGGATTATATCCTTCTAGCCAAGTGCTTCATTAACTCATTCCCCTATTCCCCCAAACATCAGAAGACAGGCCCTAGATGGAGGGGCTGAAAGTGCAAAGAGAGGAGCTGAGTTGGGGAGGAGTGGAGCAATGCCAGGTATTTATCTCATGACAATTCTGCTCACCAGCCTGCCGTAAAGACCAAGGCCTATGAAAGGCAGTTTGTACCTAACAGTCAAAAGAAAAGTTGAGGAGGAGGTAAGAAATGATAGACAGTCACTAAGACCTAGACCTTAACTTTTGCAAAAGGTATTTGAGAGTTGGCTGGAAGGGAGGCTAAGTTTTCCACAAACTTCACCTCCATCCCCACACAAGAGGATGTGGTTCTTACCTGGTGAGATTGCACATGAAATAGCTTGAACCATGCAAAGTAACTCGAAGAAAGCAAATTACAAATTGAGTAGCAAATGCCCCCTCTGTCCCTCACACCTGTATTTGGGAACGTGGGAAAGCTTCCCCTGGTCACTCTTGGGCTCACATACTGCGGCCTTCTGCTTCCCGAGTGCTGGATGATGTCCGGGGGAAGGGCAGAGATTGCTGTTCCTTGCATTCTCTGCTCTGTCTGGGGACTTTGCTGTTAGCACCCTCACCTCCTTATTGCTACCAAGTGGAAAAAAGGTATCTGTCCTCACAAAAGTGCTGGGGACCTGCGGATCACTTCCCAAAGTCTACTTAAGTCTAGGTTTGAGCTGACAAAATTCATTCACATATCGGGACCCACAAAATGGAGGCTGCCCCAGTGGCCCTGCCCACATCACAAATCTAAACCAGTCAGCCTGCCCCGAAGCAGGTATGAAGGAAACCTAACATACTCCAATCACAATCCTCCAACTCAGTATCAGCTAGTTCACGTGACCCTAGAAAACAGGACCTGGTCCCTTAAAAGGAAACCCCAGAGCTCCTAGCCAATCAGGCGCGGTTTCTGCGTTAGCTTTCCTAAATGCTCTATAAACGCATTCTTGCCCCAGATTGCCCCAGATCTCTCGGGAAGAGTCTCCACTGTTGATGAGCCGCTGTACTTTCCCAATCCCGGGATTGTTTTCCCTGAATTTATTCAGGGAAAGGAAGGAGTAAACTCATTACTAAATTGTTTTAGTTGTATCATTTGATAGGACTGAGAAAGCTGAGGGGGTGTGAGCCCAGGGGTACAAAATAACGTTCTGCAAGATCTAAGGTGCTAATGAGAACACACTGTCCACATATTTGAAGATGGAACTTCCAAGATATTTACTGTATTTATTAATTCACTTTAAGATGTATCATTTGGAGGCCTAAGGCAGGCTAGAGTCACTGAAGTAATTGCAGGATCCAGGTCCCAGGTAGATTCCTAGAAATAACTTGGCAGAGCGGGGAGGGAGGGTGGTGGGGGGTGGTATTGGGCCAAATAAAACAGAAGGCAGGGATGCTGTACCAACAGCTCAAAAGAGCAGAATGTCTCAGAAAAGCTCTATACATGAAGTTGATATATGATAAAAGTGGCATTATACTTCAGTGGAAGAAAGGGTTTTTCATTAACTAATGCTGAAGCAACTTATTAATTAATTGAAAACAAAACTAGTTTAGGTCCTCATTTCACTCCACATACCAAAATAAATTTTGCATGGATCCAGGAGTGAAATGTAATGAACAAACAGATTAAAAAAAAATCTAGAAAAAGGTAAATATTTGATTTATGAATGAGAAAGAACACTTTGAGCTTAAAAGCAAATTGAAACCCCAAAGAAAAAATTTTACAGATTTAACTATTTAAAATATACATTTCTATACAACAAAAACAACATAAGTAAAACTAAAAGTCAGTGAGCATGGAAAATGTCTGCAACAAATATGAAATGATTAATATACTTGATATATAAAATGTTCATGCAAACAGATAAGAAAAAAAGTAACCCCCTTAAAAATGGACAAGGAATATGAAGAGATATTTCACAAAAGAAGAAATGCAAAGTAGTTAACTGTAAAAGACCTGTTTTTTCCTTCTCTGTACTCTCCACTAAATGTGTGGGAGTTTTCCTCCACCAAGCCATTCTCTCTGACACCCAGATGTCCTACAATTTAACTTAATTCTGACATTATCTACTTGGAGTAGATCCCACAGGTTAAGGGTTCAGTCCCACGAGATGCCCCACACCCACCTGCCTTCAGATGCGAATTGCAAGTCTAGGTTGTCACCTGTGCTTCTGACCGATCAGCTATGATTTGGAGGTTCCCATGACCCTTCCTTGGGTTTGATTAATTTGCTAGAGCAGCTCACAGAACTCAGGAAAACAGTTTACTTCCTAGATTACTGGTTTATTATAAAAGAATACAACACAGGAAGAGCTAGGTGGAAGAAATGCATAGGGCAAGGGATGGAGGAAAGGAGAGGGGAGCTTCCATGCCCTTTCCAGGTGTCACCCTCCCAGGACTTCCACGTGTTCACCAACTCAGAACCTCTTGGACCTTGTACTTTAGGGATTTTTATGGAGGCTTCATTATATAGGCATGATTGATTAAATCATTGCCCACTGGTGATTGAGCTCATCTCCAGCCACTCACCTCCCTGGAGGTTGGGGGTGGGGCTGAAAGTTCTAACCCTGTAATCACATGGTTGGTTCCCCTGGCAACCAGCCCCAATCCTTAGGGACTTTCCAAAAGTCACCTCATTAATATAAACTCAGATGTGGTTGAAAGGGGCTTGTTATAAATAAAATCCCTATTATCCCTATTATCACTTAGGAAATCCAAGAGTTTTAGGAACTCTGTGCCAGATACAGGGACAAAGACCAAATATATATTTCTTATTATAAATCACTATATCACATTAACTAACATGAAAAAAAGTATATACCTTACATAACATAATCAGAGATATGCCAAGTAAAATAACTTAGGAGTTTCCTTATCAAAACTGCAGATAAAAACACGTGATACCAAGAATGCAGTTAAAACTGGCATTCTCATACAATGATGGTGATGTGAAAATTCTTATAAACTTCCTGGGAGGCATTTTGGCAATATGCATTAAAATCCCTAAAAATAGTCGTATCTTTTTGGCCAAGTAATTCCACAAAATTTAATCTTCCACAAAGATTAAAAACATCTTTTCAGAAAAGCACCAACAGAGCTAAAATCCCATCATGAATTTCCATAGGTATGAGAAGCAGTGTAGTCCAATAACATGGAGCTAATATTCTTTCTAAGTCAAGAACACAGGTCTTTCTGACAATCTTAATCCACAGAGAATATTTTAAGGATTCATAGTGCTTCTGTAACTACCTCTGAGTAAAAGTTCAGCCACTGCAAGTTAGTGGTCTGCTTTTGTTTGGCTGCCTTTTTCTGATTAACTGTCCACTTTACACACCATCTGTACAGACTTTGTGCAAGACCCTACTGCCCACCATTATCCCTGTGTGCTTCTAACCAGTTATACTGGCATTACCTTCACCATTTTTGAGGCTGGAGACACACAGGGTGATGCTGAAGGGAGGGAAGGCGAGCAGAGAGTACGAGCGTAGATCATACATGGGAGGAGGGGTCACAGACACTGACTACCAGTAATTTCCCCAGGCCCATTGCTAGAGTGTGAAAAGTCTGAGGAGAAAACAAACTCATCTTACAGAGTGGTAGCTGTCTGGGCAAGCCACGGTGCACTCAGGGAAGGTACTTACAAAAAGAAGATGAAGAACCCACAGAAACACTCATAAAAAGGAGGAGCAGGAAATCGGGTTCGGTTGAGTCTTGTTTCTTGCTGGCTTTCTAACGTCAGGCTCCAGAAACATGCACAGTGGAGAGGGCAATAGCAGATAGTTGCAGTCCTGAGCGTATGACCTGCTCACATTCTCAGTTGTCCCTAAGTAAACAGCTCTTTAAACTTGGGTACATTTGTGCTGGCTGACGTCATGAATCAGCTGATTTCACTTTCATTTCTTAACTTGCCGGTGGCCCATGACTTTTGGGAAAGAAATAGTGTAAACAACACTTGTTCACGGGACCACACACTTTACCCACCACCCTGGAGCCAGCTAACCAATTGACTTGAAGAGCCAGGTAAGTGTCTTGATTATATCACACAACAATTCCAGAAAGGAAACTGGCCAAGACACTCTCAAAGCTCCTAGTGATTTAAACTCCAAGATAAACACAACCTAGAATCTTATTCAGAAGAGACCTTCAAGATCATCTGGTCCAAGATCCCAGACCCAGGTCACCCCTTGGGAAGCAGTTATGTCATCTGTCCCTTTTTCAGCTATGTAGAATGACTGGGCTTCTCTGGAGACAAAACCTTGTTTTCTTAGTGTTCTCACGAGGGTGTTTAGGCCCATGCTGGAGCAGCAAAAACATCTCTTATTTCAAAATAAGAGCAGAATGAAACTTTTATTTTTGTAATCATAGGGGATCCTAGCCAGAGTTTAAAAATTACTTCCTTTGCTCACATGATCAGTTGGAAATTCCGATTTGGGGTTAAGCTTGGTTAAGTCAGTAGACAGCTACCTAGCAATATTGCTGAATCCTTTGGGGTTTCTTTTCCCCTCCCCATGCCCCCCTCCCCCCTAAAGGAGTTCTTTTTTCTTTTTTTGTATGGCTACATTTTTTCCCTTGTAGTTCTTTTAAACTCAATCCCTAGAAAGAGGTGATGTGATCTAACAGAAAGGAAGAACAGAGGCTTTGGGATCGGGGAGCTCTACTACAGATTAGCAAATTATTTAACTTCTCTGAGCATGTTTCTCATCTGTAAAATGGAAACAATACCTACTTTGCCTGGCTGTTGTGGAAATTGGAGATAATGTGTGAAAGTACTTAGTACCAGTACTGCACACACAGTCATGCCAGCTGTTATTATTAAAAGCAGAATTTGCAAATATCTAGTCTAGCATTCATAATAATGCCTTCAAGGCAGAGACAAAATTAACATTTGGTACTAATATAAACTAGTTACTCTGAAAACTGAACATAGTGAGTGAAGTGATGCAATATAGAAGAGACAGAAACAATTGAAACAATTTACTCAAAGTTATAATGCATGTAGTTTTTAAATAAAAAGAGTCAAATAATTCTTCAGAGTTTGTTATGTAAAACAAGAGTCCCACACTCTCCCTTTTTTCTTCTCCAGAGGCAAGCACTTTCATCTGTTTTTTACCTCAGTTCTCAAAATAACATTTTGGTGTTATTGGTACTTGATTTTTCAGTTTCAGGCATAATCTATTGACTCTTAACTAGAGGAGATGAAGATTTAGCTTTCTTCTCCCTGACTCCACGTTCCACAACTCTAAGTCCTATCTCCCTCCTCCTTTCAAATTGGTTATATTATAATCTTGTTTAAATCAATATTCTGTGTCTACAATATTGTAACCATGTAAATACCATATACGGTAGCTGAGTCATATAGAAAATTATGATTTCTTTTCCTTTCATGCATAACTTTTTGTCTTCCCTGGAGATAATAATTGCCTTAATTTTTTGTTTGTTTGCTTAATTTTCTATGTGCTTAACACTTATCCAACCCTCAAATCCTCATCAAATCTTTTTTCAAGAAATTTGTATGCATGGTACTTGATCTCTTCCTGAGAAAGGCTCTTCCAGCACCTTCCAACCTGCTCCAGTCTGGGATGAGGGCCTTGACACCTAATACACAGCTGTCATCTGGGAATCTCATTTCAAAACCACCATCCTGTGATTCCTTTTGCCTCTATCCTATGCCGGATCTCCTATTTCCTGCATCAAAGGCTTTTCTTGGTTTAGTCTTCATTCTACCCTTAAACTTGATCGATCAAAGTTAGAGTATAGCATTTTAGGTTAAAAGTAATTTGCCTTTGGGGGCCAGCCCAGTGGCGCGAGCAGTTAAGTGCGCACGCTCCGCTGTGGCAGCCTGGGGTTCGCCAGTTTGGATCCCAGGCGCGCACCAACGCACCGCTTGGCAAGCCATGCTGTGGTGGCATCCAACATATAAAGTAGAGGAAGATGGGCATGGATGTTAGCCCAGGGCCAGTCTTCCTCAGCAAAAAGAGGAGGATTGGCAGATGTTAGCTCAGGGCCAATCTTCCTTATAAAAAAAAAAATTATAAAAAAAATAATTTGCCTTTTTAAGTTTGAAAGCCTTGTTCCATTCTATCTAGCTTCCACGTTATTGTTGAGAAGTTTAAAGCCATTCTGCTTTCTAGCTTCAAAAATGGTTTCCTTTTCTAGTCTCATCCTTGCAGGTTTGTCTTAAAAAATAAAAATGATTTTTATTTTAGTGGGTTTTTGAGAAAGAGCAAAATTAAATGTGTGTTCAGTTTGCCGTTTTTAACTGGAAGTCTAATTATTTTATTTATTTATTTATTTTACCCTAGAAGGGCTCTTTCTAGCTGTCTCTTTCGCTGGTTCCCTCTGGCAGCATAGCTGGCCTCTGGTTGAGCTTGTTGCTCTTATCAAGTTACTAGCCTCCTCTTAATCACCATCAAAATCTCCATTATTTTTTTTTTTTTTTTTTTTTTTTTTTTTTTTTTTTAAGATTTTATTTATTTTTATTTTTTACCCCCAAAGCCCCATTGGATAGTTGTGTGTCGTAGCTGCACATCCTTCTAGTTGCTGTATGTGGGACTCGGCCTCAGGATGAACGGAGAAGTGGTGCCTCGATGCGCACCCGGGATCCGAACCCGGGCCACCAGCATCGCAGCGCGCGCACTTAACCACCAAGCCACAGGGCTGGCCCTCCATTATTTATTTATTTACTTTTTTGCTGAGGAAGATTTGCCCTAAGCCAACATATGTTGCCAATCTTGCTCTTTTTCATGTGAGCTGCCGCCACAGCATGGCCACTAACAGATGAGTGGTGTAGGTCTAACCCTGGGGACCTGGGGCCAGGCTGCTGAAGCAGAATGTGTGGAACTTAACCACTAGGCCACTTGGGTTGGCCCTCCATTATTTTTGATAGCACCCGTAGGCTTGAACTTCCCCACACTCTGTTCCAAACAAATTAGTTTACTTGGGGAAAACTCCAGAGTTCTCTGTTTTCATGGCATGCCTCTCCTCCTAGGGCAGAATATCTGAGCCATTGCTGTGGAGCTGAGGGTGCGGACAGTGACCTGCTTCTTCTAGAGTGACGCCTCTGCTTTTCGAGCATGGTGCTGGGTGGGGCAGCAGCCTCTTGTCTTTTCAGCTTGCCCCTCCTCACATGGAACCTCCTCCCTATAAACAAGCTCGGGCAAAGGTGAGCAAGGCTCCAGTTTTCTTGGCCTGCTGAATCTGAGAGACAGACTTTGCACCCTGGCTGGGTGGAGGAAGGGAAGCCCTAACTAACCTCTTGGCTGCACTAGGCTGGAATTTAGCCTCTGCAACACAGAGGTAGGGGCATGAAAAATGCTCACCCCTCCCAGGGAGGTACCAGAACCCTAGGGCTGGGAGCTGGGGAGAGTGCCACCCCTGCATTCTTGGCCACATGCTTCCAGAGGAGAGCTTCCTTCACACTGAACTGGGGTCAAAGGAGGAGTGGGCCGTGGCTTAAGTGCCACAGACTCACACTGAGATTTTCTTGAATGAATGTTTCTTTATTTGTTGCCATAGGACAATTTCCATACTTTAAATTTTTTTTTTTCTAACTTTTACCAGTTATGGTATTCTCACAGGGGAGTACCCACTCTCACAGGGGAGTGGGTGGAGGAGTTCCTCAGGCTGCTATTCTGGAACTGGATCTCTGCCCCTTTATTGTTTTTCAAAGGGAATAGTTCTAACTGCATAAAATCTAAAGACTTTTAAATAGCAAAGAATATCATGAACAAATCTGAAAATGACAACTTTCAGAAAATTACAAAATAAGAAACAAATGGTTGTAAATTTTGAGTCCCTTAAATTAATCTATGAATTTAGAACTTAACTAATAAAAATATTGATAGGTTTAACTGGGAATGCCTTTGTGGTTGTTTAAGTTTTTTGTTTTCTTAAAACTAATAAAACCAATAAAAATTTATTGAGGTAAATATTAAGCTACTTTTACAGATTTCTAGTAATAGATATATTGAAATAGTCTTTTGTTTCAAATATCTCCACCTGGTTTTGTAAAACATCTATGATGGTTTAAATAATAGTAAAAACAATACTTATGCCATCTAATTATGGGGTGCCCAATGAAATGGAAATAATGTTTCACAATTAAATTAAAATCTCTATATTTAAAAACACTCAGGAATTATAATTCTATTAAATGTCAATAAGAGCAAACATAAAATCACTTAAGTGACAGCAGTTAAACTACATAGAGGTAAATCTAAATTACTTTTAAAAAGAGGAAAAAACAGATGTCTTGCAGTGGGTGTGGTGTTCAGGGATTGGCTGCTTTGAAGTCTGAGTTGAACCTGCATATGACCCTGGATCCCTGTGATCTCATGGTATAACGTTCCCCTTTTGGATGGAGGAAGCTGCTATCATCTGTGTCATCTTCTCTAAAGACAGCAGCTAAACTTATCATCTGCAGCACAGTTTCACTCAGAGATTTTAAGAGCTCCCTTTATCATTTACAGCCTGTTTCATTCACGTGTAATACTTTTCAAGCATTTTTTTTTTTTTTTTTTGGACCGTCGGTTCCCACACTCTTTCTATCCCCCATCTTCTTGGGAAAGCAGGTTTAGGCTTTCCTATAAATGAGTGTTTTCATTCAAACGATCCATTGTTTCCCTCTAAAGTTGTTCTACATTTTTTTCTGAGATGCCTTGGGCATTAGTTGGGAATGGAAGAATTTATTTATTTTTTTTTTACTAGGAAGAATTGCCCTGAGCTAACATTTGCTGCCAATCTTCCTCTTTTTGTATGTGAGCTGCCACCATAGCATGGCCACTGTTAGATGAGTGGTGTAGGTCTATGTCTGGGAACCAAACCCAGGCTGCTGAAGCTGAGTGCGCTGA